AATGGGTGTCCTAACGTTAACTAGAGTTCACCAACTCTAACACAACATGTATTCATGTTCAAGTTTGTTCATATTATTTAGATAGTAAGTGCTAGTATTTTGGTCAAAGTTAATAAGACATAATTTGTTTTTCATTCAGTATGTGTCTCCTATGTGTAAGGTCCAAAAGTCTATTTAAGGGCCTAGCTTTGATGTTTTAGTGTGTGAGAAAACTATTCAATAATATATTGAGTGTTTTTTGTTTTTCTATTTTCAAAAGTTAAAGTTTGCAATCTTGTCCCACATTCTTGTATCAGAGCGGGTTCTTTTATTAAGAGTTGATAATCCACCAAATAGAACAAGAATTGAGAGTTTACGATTACATGGCAACCAACAATAGTGCCCCTAAGGCCCAAAGCATTCCCATTGGTCCGTGAACGTTGTTTAAGTCTCAAGATTTATGGGACTTGGTGGAAATCTGATTTGAAGAATTTGCTAGTCTCTTCCTAATTGACAACAACCCAATGGAATGAATTGAAGGAAGAACAAAAGAGAGATGCCAAGGCTTTGTTCTTCATTCAGCAAGGAGTGGAGGATGCTTTGTTCCCACGAGTGATGGGAGCTAACACTTCAAAGGAAGCATGGGATTTTCTCCAAGAACACTACGTAGGGCAAGGTAAGTGTATAATGGTGAGGTTGCAAACTCTTCGTTGAGATTTTGAGAAGTTATCGATGAAACCCAATGATGCCATACAAGATTTTTCAGTAAGAGTTTCTGCACTTGTGAATCAAATTCGAGCTTTTGGTGAGGAGTTATCTGAACATAAGATCGTTGAGAAGGTTTTAAGAAGCCTTCCCCCTAAATTTGATCATGTTCTTGATGCGATTAAGGAATCAAAAGATTTATCTGATTACTCATTAGTAGAGCTAAAGGGTTCTCTTGAATCCCATGAAGCTCACTTGAATAGATCATTTGGGTCATCATTGGAGCAAGCTTTTCAAATGAAGGTTGATGTGAAAAAGAAATTTAATAGCTTAGGCAGAGGTGGCTTTAGTGGCAAGTGTGGACGTGGTCGTGGTCATTCAAGTCGTGGAAGAGCTCATGGTAGATCAAATAGGCAAGATAAAAACCATGGTAATGTTGCATGTTCTTACTATGGTAAGTTTAATCACTTGGAGAAAGATTGTTGGCATAAAGATCAAGATAAGAATGTTGTCCAGTGTTACAATTGCAAGAATTTTGGCCATACAACAAGAAATTGTCCAATAAAAGAGCAAGCTAACTTCCATGAAGAAAAAGATGATATAACATATAATTTATTTGTTGCTTTTTTGGCTTCTAATGTTGATATCTTCTGAAGTATGGTATTTGAATAGCAGATGTAGTAGTCACATGACTAGAAACAAGTATTATTTTGTGCAGATTGATGACTCTATGGATTCAAAAGTGACCATGGGCAACAATAGTCAAGTTTTAGGTGCGTGGTTTGGACGCAGTTGTCGTGGGTTGCAAAATTGGTAGAAAACTTATACATAATGTCATGTATGTACCTGGTTTAGCTTAAAATCTTTTGAGTTTGGGTCAAATACTGAAGAAATTTTTTTACACTATGTTTGACAATGGTAAATGCATGATTTATGATAAAAAGAATGTGTTTGGTGTATTCAGTACAAAATCACTGAAAACAAAATGTCTCCTATCATGTTTTCGCAACTCAATCTTAATGCATTCAAGGTTTCAACTGATGATTCAAGGCTTCAACTGATGATTCAAGGCTATGGCATATAAGGTTTTGCCATCTCAATTTTGGTGGGTTACAGTTACTGCACAAGCAAGAAATGGTGTCAGGTTTCTACGGTACAATATTACAACAACAATTGTGTAGCTTGCATTTATGGAAAACAACATCTAGAGAATTTCGTGATGGACAAGTCTTGTATAGCCACTAAACCTCTAATGCTTGTTCATGCGAACATTTGTGGACCTATGTAAACACCTTTATTAAATGAAAGTAAGTGTTTCTTGATTTTTGTTAATGATTTTTCAACGATGACATGGGTGTATTTTTTGGAGGGAAAATCTTAGCTTTTGAATCTCTAAAACAATGAAAGAGAAACTAACAACTATCGAAAAGAACCAAACCTGGACTTTGATAGATTTGCCTGACGAAAAAAATGCAATTGGTCTCAAATGGATTTACAAGTTCAAGTTCAATCTAGATGGTACCTTGAAGAGAAATATAGCTTGATTAGTGATAATCCTATGATTTTACTGTTTTATTTATGCTTTTTGGCTAGATTTTGGATACTTCTTCTTAAGTTTGTGCCTGAATTGCTACTTAATTTCATATATTTTATGTTTCAGGCTAAAACGTGCAATTAGACCTAGAATCAAGTAAATTTCAAGGATTCGGGAAATTTCTTATGTGGATTTGAAGCACTATGAAGCTTGTTCCTATTAGAGATCACTAAGACTGAAGATTCAAGCAAGGAAGCAAGTGGAGGGCAGTTTCGTAATTTCAAAAAAGTTCAGAAAAGTTCACTGCGGTGAGAAAGTCTCGGGTCAGATTGTTCAAAAAAATCCAACTCGATGCCGCAGCGAAGTTTATTCTTCGCCGTGGCGAAGTCTGCAATTTTTCAGTTATTAAAACTGTGCATTTTAATTGTATTGGAGGAGTCTTAGGGTTTTGGGGTCGACTATATAAGTGGGACTTATTTATTTTAGAAGAGGTTCGACACTTTTTGGAAGGAGAAGAGAAAATTGGAGATTGGGAGTCTTTGGATTCATCAAATAAGGAAGAATTTATTCTCTTTTCGTTATTCCAGCATGTTGAACTCTGTTTTTACAACTTTTCTTTTGATTTGCTTTATTTTTAGTATGAACTAACTCACTTTGGGTTAGGGTTTTGATGTAATTGGGATTTTAATGTCTAATCTATAAATTGATGTTGCTTTTACATTTTATTGCTTGGGTTATGTATTTACTCTTGTTCTAATTGCAACCAATTGTTGAGCATGATGAGACTGAGAAGTGATTCATGTATTAGCCTCTTAGGGTAAATATCATTGATTGATTGGACGTTGGAGATAGGTTCGGAGATCCATGAAATCAATTTAGGATTCCATTTAGCTTAACAGACTTGGAACTATTAATCTTCATTTTGTTGGGTGCGGAAGCTTAATAAGGATAAGTAGGAAAACATAGCCTGAGAAGGTATGTTTTACAGGTTAGGGTGTCCGATTTATAATCCTTGCATGTGAATTTAAAAGAAACAGAAATCGTAGATTAATTCATAAAATCAAAGTGAAGTCAAGACCCTAACCGCTTTGTCTTAATTGATATTCTCTTGAATTGATATTGTTGTCATTAATTAGCTTTTAAATTACGTAGTGGATTTTGTTTTAACTTTAGCTTGATTTTTCTCTTGCAAATCCCAACATCTTTCGTTTACTCCAAGTTGGTATAAAACTACGAAAATCAGTGCTTAACACGCAATCCTCGTGGGAATGATACTCTACTTATCACTTTATTACTTTTTGCGATTAGTGCACTTGCTACACATTGCATGTTGTAAAATCAACACATAAAGTTTTTGTCGCCGTTGCGTGGGATTGATTTCTTGTTGCTATTGAGTTTTCTGGTTTTAGCTTGATTGGAGTTTAATTTTAGTTTTAATTGTTTTCTAGCTTAATTGTGTTGTTTCTTTTCTGTTCGCTTGTGATCTCACGCTCTCTTTCTGTTTGTGTAGTTTATGCGAAGAGCTAGAAGTCATCCAGTGGTTCCTATTGATCCAAAGATTGAAAGAACCGCAAGAAGACTTAACAGAGAGAGAAGAGAACGAGAGGTGATAGTGATTGAGATGGCTAAAACTAGAACTTTGAGGGAATTCTCAGTACCCTCCGTTGATGGTAGTGGTCCAAGTATCACTAGACCACCGGTACAAGCCAAAGTTTTTGAACTAAAGCTGGCAATCGTCCAAATGATACAACAGTCGGTACAATTTAGGGCAGATCTGAAGGAAGATCCAAATTCACACATTGCAAACTTCTTAGAGATTTGCAATACCTTCAAGTCAAATGGAGTGTCAGATGATGCCATCAGATTAGGATTATTTCCTTTTTCATTAAGAGATAAATCAAAGGGATCGTTAATGGCACTACCAGCAGACACAATCACAACCTGGAATAAATTGGCACAAAAGTTCCTGACTAAATACTTTCCTCCAGCGAAATCTGCAAAGATGAGAAATGATATCACATCATTTCTACAGGAAGAGAATGAATCACTTTATGAAGCATGGGAGAGATATAAGGAATTGTTGAGAAAGTATCCACACCATGTTTTGCTTGTTTGGATGCAAGTCCAAACTTTCTATAATGGGTTGCTAACAAATGTGCAAACAATGGTGAATGCAACATCTGGAGGAGCATTGCAAAACAAGACACCTGAAGAAGCATATTAGTTACTTGAAGTCCTGACAAGTAATAACTATCAGAGACCTAATGAAAGAATTCATCCAAAGAAGTCTATGGGTATTCATGAAGTTGATGCTTACACGGCCATTTCAGCCCAATTGACAGCACTTTAGAAATAATTAGGAGGTATGCAAGTAAATTCAATTCAAACACCTCAAGTAACATGTGATTTTTGTGCAGGTAACCATGCGAGCATTGAATGCCAAGTGGGGAATAATTTTGCTTTAATATCTTCGTCATCTAAACAAGTCTATTATTTGGCTGGGAATCAAAGACAACAGAACAATCCTTTCTCCAACACATACAATCCTGGTTGGAGAAATCATCCACTTGTTTTGGGGCAATCAGAATCATCAGAATAACCAATGGAATCAAAGAACAGTGCCAAATAATCAAGTGGAGGTGAATAATCAACTAGGGATCAAAGAGTTTCGAAATTGAAGGATATGTTCAGAAAGTTCATGAAAGAGACCATAGGTTTTACGAGTGAGACGCGGGCAAATTTCAGAAACCAAGGGGCGTCCATTCGAAACTTAAAGATACAAATGGGGCAAATAGCTGAAAAGTTGAATGAGCGACCACAAGGTTCCCTATCAAGTAACACGGTGACAAATCCACTTGAACAAGTAAATGCAATAACTTTAAGAAGTGGAACAATCTTGGAAGAGGCTGAACAAAAAGGGAAGGATGAGAACCCACCAAGTAAAGCAAAGGAAGAATCCAATGAAGAAATCAAGGAAGAAGTCATGGTTGAAGAGAAGCCAACGAGTCCCAGAGAATCCAGAGAAGAAGAACCGAAGAAGGAAGAGAGGCCAAAGCAAAAGAAGGAAAAATTGTCATTTCCTGAGATACCACCGGAGTTAGCACATCACACGCCTCTTGTGCCCTTTTCTCAGAGGCTCAGAAAGCAAAATCAAGATAAGCAGTTCACGAAATTCCTTAATGTATTTAAAAAACTGCACATTAACATTCCTTTTGCAGATGCCTTGCAGCATATGTCGAGCTACACTAAGTTCCTCAAGGACATTCTAGCAAACAAGAGAAAGTTGGAAGATGAGGAAACAATGATGCTTACAGAGGAGTGTAGTGCCATCCTACAGAAGAAGCTACTGCCAAAACTCAAGGATCCAAGGAGTTTTACTATCCCTTATGTTATAGGAAATATTGCATTTGATAAAGTTTTGTGTGATCTGGGTGCAAGTATTAATCTAATACCTTTTTCTGTTGTCAGGAAACTGGGGATTGGTGAAGTGAAGCCTACAACCATATCCTTGCAGCTTGCAGATAGATCCATCAAGCATCCAAGGGGCATTATTGAAGATGTACTGGTTAAGGTGGATAAATTCATTTTTATGGCAGATTTTTTTGTGTTGGATATGGAAGAAGACAAGGAGATTCCTCTCATCTTGGGACAACCATTTCTTTCTACTGGAAGAGCCTTAATTGATGTACAAGAGGGGAAGTTGATCATGAGGGTGCAAGAGGAAGAAGTGACATTCAATGTCCTTGAGACTCTAAAAGTTCCATCGAAGCAAGATTCATGTTTCAAAATTGACTTGGTGGATCAGTCGGCAATTAAAACTTCCAAGATTGATGATCCTAAATCACCAATTAAGGGATGCATGGTCAAGTCAAGGCAAATCGAAGATGAAGACCATAACCTAGAAGTTTACACAACACACCTATATGGGCCACAATCGAGCAAATGTCTTCACAAGGGACGAACTTCTCAGTTCAAGAATGCTGATGGAAAGTTAAAAAATCAGAAAGTTGTCGATGAGAACGCTCAAACCCTAAAAGGAATGACCAAGGGATGGAAATGGATGATTAAGTTCTCAACAAAGACCTGATGTGACAAGAATCATCAACAATTGAAGCCTTAGTGTAGGGAAAATGTTCAGAAAGAGATGTATCTGGATAGTCCAGATTGATGAAGGACTAGAGAAAGTCGAGCTTCCGACTATAAACAAGCGCTTCTTGGGAGGCAACCCAAGTATTCTCATTTTTAGTTGTTTTAATTTTGTTTACGTGTTTTATGACTTATGAAATAGTTTAATTTCGTTTGTCTTTTGGTGTTCCAGGTGAATGATCAAAATGTAGCAAGTAATTGAATTTTCCAGACTTCGCCGTGACAAAGTAATAACTTCACCATGGCATTGTATACACTGCCAAATGAGTGCTCATGGAATTCTAGATTTTGCCATGGCGAAGTTTATTCTTTGCCGTGGCATTGTATACACTGCCAAAGTTGGACTTAAAGAGATTCAAGATTTCACCAAGGCGAAGTTTATTCTTTGCTGCGAAATTGTATGCACTGCCAAAATTCGCTGCGGTGAGAAAAATTCTTCGCCGCGACATCAAGCGTATCGCACAAATGATTCAAGAACTTCACCATGACGAAAACTGTTTTCTTTATAAATGCGCATTGACTCTTTATTTTTTGCAAGAGCTCCCAAAAATTTCCAAGAACCAAACACTTCTACCTTCAATCCAGAGTGTTTCCAGTGAAGATTCTTCCCACTACTCCACTCCTTTACCCTCATAAACACTAAATCATCTCCATTTTTCAAGGATTATGCAAGAATTTGCAGAAATCCTAGGTTGACAAAAAAATTGGGGATCTTTCAATTTGGGCAGCAATTTGCAAAATCAAGGGTGAATCTGAGGTGGGCAAGGTACGAATTGGTGTATCTAGCTTTGATTTTAATCAATTTTGGTTTGTACTTGCTTTATATTTAAGAATTTATAAAAGTGCTTGAGGTTGAATTGGTGCAAATTGTGTGTTGATTTTGGGTTGAAAATTGTGGAGTTTGAGTTGTGTGTATTGAGGAAGTGTGGGTTTGTGATTTCAAAGTTGGTTGATTGCGTTTAGAAGAGTGGTGATTTGGGGGATGTAAGTGTAAATTTTGAAACTTAAGGCGAATTGTGTAGTGATTTTGGGTTGTAGAAAGTGTGCTTTAGTGTTGAATTTTCGAGCTGAGTCACTAAGTTCGGGGGTAGATTTGAGTGAATATTATTGAAAGCCGAAATGCCGCTCAAAACGGTTGCCAAGGGTAAAGGAAAACAGGTCGATAATAGATTTGTGAATGAGAAGGCTAGGCAACGTTATGAAGGAGCTATTAAAAGAAAAGACAAATGTTTTATTGCCGAGAAAGGATTGACCAAGGTCAATGCAGAAGCTTGGATCCAAGGGAGAGGTTAGGATCTCTTTCTGCTTGAACCGAATCATTTAGCCGTAGAGCCAATTGTAAGAGAGTTTTATGCAAACTTCCCTGAATGTGAGCCCGGGCATGTACATGTGAGGGGTATTAAGGTTCCAATTAGTGCAAAGATTATCAATAAGTTCTACAAGATTGATCCAATTGACCGTGATGAGTATGTAGAATTCAAAAAAAGGAGATTAACCAGGATGAGATTCTTATGATTATTGCAAAGTTAGGTACCTCTTGGGAAATTTCAAAGAAGGGAAGGAGAAGCATAAAAGAGACTAATTTGATTCCCATAGCTAGAATTTGGCAGTACTTTGTCTGTGCATGGATGGTCCCAGAAACACACTAAAGTTCAGTGGCTTTTGAGTGAGCGGTTTGACTTTATGCCATTGCCATTGGAAAGAAGATGGATATGGGGAATATCATGATAGAGAGTATAAGGCATGTAGCCAAACCAGGGAGAGCGAGCTTTGCCTTCCCACATCTTATCATAGAAATTTGCATGAGAGCGAGAGTAAAGAAGGCAGAAGATGAACCATTTCTTCATCCTACCCCAATCTCAATCAAGCCTATTATTATAAGCTCCAAGAGCGTCCTACCAGAGAAGGAACCAACTCTAGCTCGAAAAGACTAAAAATCACAACAACGGCCACAACACCTAGTTCAACATCCACGACAAGGGAGCTATTGCAACAAATTTAGGAAAAAGTGAACAGAATGGAACGACATCAAGATTGGATGGCAGGGCATACCTGAATGTTGTATGAGATGCAATACAACTGCTGCACCAATCTAGGCATTGATGTATCAAACTTCCAATGGCAAGATTAGCAAGAGGAGGAAGAAGATGATGACATTGAATAAGAAGAGGAAGACGACGAATGAAGCCTGAAACACTTGTATTTGTATTTGTATTTTCTGTTTTCATTTCTTTTTGTTTTGTAAATTTGGAACCAATTTTCTTTTGTTAGTTTGTTAATTGTTGTTGTTTGAATTTTCTGGTTTAGTTTGATAAGGTTGAGATCAGGTTGTAATTTTTTCATATTAATCAGTGAAGATATCTAACATAATGGGCACCATAGATTTTCATTTTTTTTTAACAGATGATGATGATGAGGAAGCCAAGGAATGGGTGTGCATGATGTTGAACGAAAATCAGCCTTCACGAATTAATCAGGGAAATATCTCGTACCCTTTAATTCTGTTTTTCTATTCCTGAGATGTGCATAATGTGACATTGGGGACAATGTCATTTTAAGTTTGGGGGTAGGAAAATTTGAAAAAATTTGTTTTTAGTTTGTTTTTGTGTTTTGTATTGTTGTTGCCAATGATGAATTGCATAAGTCTATGATGAGAATATGATTGCTGAGATTTTATTTATGGAAAATGTTAAGCATTGTTTCAAGTTTAGGTTGGTTGATTAACTTTTCTTTTCTAGAGGTTTGTTGAGTGGTTCAACCACCATTTTCATTATTTCGGCATGCTTAGAAACATTTTATGTGGTGAGGTGAAGTCTTGATAATGTTGGTGGACTTTAAAACCTAGTTGAGAAGTGCTTGAGACGAAATTCTAGGAATAGACATTATTGAGGAAATAATTTAGACAATTTTTCGAAACGTTTGAGCCTTTCCAGTCGACCATGAATAAATTTTTCCCTAGTCACCCATTTAAGCCTTATGAGATTATCACTGTCCTATTCTTCTTGTGCAACCAAAAATACCTTTCACCCTAAACACGTTTCACGCCCTTTAAGAGAATTCTGGACCTAATGCAGGACACAAAAGAGCTTAGAGAGTTGTGTGAGAATTTGACGAACCAAAATCATAGGTTAGTGGGTCGCAAAAAGGGCAGGAAGAAGGGGTAATTGACCTCAATAAATTGATGTTGTTTTAAAAAAAGAAAAAAAAAAAGAAATAGAAATTTGAGAGTTTCAATTCAGAGTCAAAATTAAGAAATGCATATGTTTGAGGGTTATAAAATAGTTGACACCTTGATTGGTGGTTGAGAAAGATAGCGGAGATTGATGTAGCTCTTAGTGTTTGCATGAGGAAAACCAAGCTTTCTTACTTTGTTATTCTATCCTTTTCTGTGGAGCCCACTAATCGAGCCTAACGTTACAAGCTTGCAAATACCTTTTGATCCTTAGTGATGTCTAGTCCACATTAGTGGAGAGTAGTTTGATACTTGGGCTTATGGAGTCTACCACCATTTGATAAACTTTTCATTTCTGCATAAAATAATCCGGGAAGTCGGAAGGTGGACTGAAGTGGGGATTACCTACTCAGGAGGCCGATAGAGAAAGATAGTCAATCAACTTATAACTTCTTGGAGTGTTAAGCATTGTCTCGTAATAATGTTTCAACAACTTTTGAGACTTACATCAATTCTAGGCATATCTTTGTGTTTGATTTTGATTTCAAATTTTCATTTTCAATTTTGTTGTCTTTTTCTATTGGTTAGTTGTTCTTCTTTAGTCAAGTCTTGTGCCTGATACTCGAGGAGAAGCATACCTTAAGTTTGGGGGTATTTGATAATCCTAGGATTATACTGTTTTATTTATGCTTTTTGGCTGAATTTTGGATACTTCTTCTTAAGTTTGTGCTTGAATTGCTACTTAATTTCATATATTTTACGTTTTAAGCCAAAACGTGCAGTTAGAGCAAAACTGAGCGGAATTGAGTTTCTGGACCTAGAATCAAGCGAATTTCAAGGATTCGGGAAATTTCTGATGCAGATTCGAAGCACTATGAAGCTTGTTCCTATTGGAGATCACTAAGATTGAAGATTCAAGCAAGAAAGCAAACGGATGGCAGTTTCATAATTTCAAAAAAGTTCGTTGCAACGAGAAAGTCTCAGGTCAGATTGTTCAATAAAATCCAACTTGATGCCGCGGCGAAGTATGCAAATTTTCAGTTATTAAAACTGTGCGTTTTAATTGTATTAGAGGAGTCTTATGGTTTTGGGGTCGACTATATAAGTGGGACTTAGTTATTTTAGAAGAGGTTTGACACTTTTTGAAAGGAGAAGAGAAAATTGGAGATTGGGAGTCTTTGGATTCATCAAATAAGGAAGAATTTATTCTCTTTTCGTTATTCCAGCATGTTGAACTCTGTTTTTACAGCTTTTCTTTTGATTTGTTTTATTTTTAGTATGAACTAACTCACTTTGGGTTAGAGTTTTGATGTAATTGGGATTTTAATGTCTAATCTATAAATTGATGTTGCTTTTACATTCTATTGCTTGGATTATGTATTTACTCTTGTTCTAATTGCAACCAATTGTTGAGCATAATGAGACTGAGAAGTGATTCATGTATTAGCCTCTTAGGGTAAATATCATTGATTGATTGAACGCTAGAGATAGGTTCGGAGATCCATGAAATCAATTTAGGATTCCATTTAGCTTAACAGACTTGGAAATCTTCATTTTGTTGGGTGCGGAAGCTTAATAGGGATAAGTAGGAAAACATATCTTGAGAAGGTATGTTTTACAGGTTAGGGTGTCCGATTTATAATCCTTGCATGTGAATTTAGAAGTAACAGAAATCGTAGATTAATTCCTAAAATCCTAGTGAAGTCAAGACCTTAACTGCTTTGTCTTAATTGATATTCTCTTGAATTGATATTGTTGTCATTAATTAG